TTGTCACCAGATGTGGTTTGATGTATGTATGGTTAAATGCTCATTTTTTAATTAATGAGAGATTTAAGAGCCATGGCTTTAAACTTGCTAAAAAAAATCAGGAAATTTACAAAGGAGAAATAAAAAGTGAAAGTGAGTGGAACAAAGAAAATTATAAAAATAAATACAAAAAATGAATGCAAGAGAAAGTTGTCAGTAATAGATAAGATTCATAAAGACAAAATCTAGCACTTCAAAATGATAATCAAAATGAATTCACTTTATTGTAGGTAATACCTTAGCAGGGCGTTAAGGAAGGACATTCCTGTAGACTGTCATTTTTCTCTGTTAACTGAGGTAGTAATATACAGCACCACTTTCCTTGTCTAATGTCAATGCTATTAGAGTTTTTATTTTTTCTTGGCTTGTTCCATGCTTAAGTACTTACTGTCTTGTATTTCTTGCAGACACCAAAGTAAATGTGTTGATGGGTAAGCATTCTTAATTTCCAAAAAGTATTCTCCCAAAAGAAAATGAAGAGGAGGGAAACTAAGCCTGTGATGCCCATAGCAATTAAATACTTTCCAATCATATGCTCCTTTAAAGAATAAATATTCTGTTTAGTATCTGAGGAAGGAGGGGAGAAAAATGGGGGCATCACACTTAATCTTATTGTGCAACACTGACATGAACAACTAATAAAACACCAAGTAAGAAACAGGATTATTAGGCTAACCTTAAATACAGTATTCAGAGCTTGAGAAGTGATTAGCCTGCTATTAAAATGCAGATTGATAGAAAAATTTTGAAGACTGACCCTCGTTAATATATTGTACAGTAACATAGTAAGAATATAAATATTAACACCATTATTGATGGTTTAACAATAAGTCAAGACAGCTAGCCTCAGGGAGTCATATTTCTCCACTTTGCCAGCACTGAGATTCCTAGCCTGTGCCACCAGCCCTGGCTTTTTTACGTGAGTTTTGGGAATTGAGCTCAGGTCTTCATGCTTATATGGCACTTTGACAACTGAACTATCTCCCCAGCCTAATAATTGAAATATATACTTACAAAAATAATTGTAAAGAGGACATAGAGAGTTCCCTGTACCCTGCACCCACTCTTCCTTATTATTCACAAGGTATGTTAGTATGATGAATGTTATCATGAGTGGACAGATATGAATACCTTATTAAAGTACCAGATTCATTAACATTTCCTAGCTTTTAATACAATGTCCCAATTCTGTTCCATGTCCCAATCCCAGATACATTACCATTAGTAGTCATCCCCTGTATTTTCCTTTTCATGATTATAGTGATGTTGTGGTCTTTGGAGTGGAACCCTATGGAGGAAAGTGCCCTTTCATCATATCAAAAATGAGGTGTATATTATCAGTGTGAATTAATTCTACTGCTACTGACACGAGTACCTGTTTGGTGTCATGTTGTTAGCTTTCTCTGCTGTAAACCACTTCCTTCTCATATTTTTCCATACTGAGCTTTGAAATACCAAATTTGGATAATTTCATTTGAATATAACTAATAAAAATAAAAATTTCAGAGTTCCAATGTTTACATAAAATAGTAATAATCCTTTTCTACACCTTGACCAATAATACAACTCTACTTTTATTGCCCAAATTGCTCCAGTTTGGGCCTTGGGACTTGTTGCACTTTTTAATTAGTGTGTTCATGCAAATGTGCATGTGTGTTTGCATGTGTGTGTGTGCACATGAGCATGCAACATAGGATGAGTGTGGAGGTCAGAAGACAGCTTTTTTCTGTCTTTGTGTGGGTCCCAGGGACTAAACTCAGGTCACCAGGCTTGATGACAAGTACCTTTACCTACTGAGACACTGTGGGCCATGGACTTTCCTTTTAAAGAATCATATTCCATAAATGTTTGCAATCCATGTATAAATTCAATTGAATCTTGTGTTTTTGATTATTTTGAATTCAGCAGCTACATTAATTTATTATAAAATCTAATAACTTATTCGGAAAATTATGATTTTTAAAGTTACCATTATATTTAGTATTCTTAGTAGTCTTTTCATTTCTCATACTTTAGAATTATGGTTTTAAAACACTTGATTCATTGCAAAGATAATATGCTACATACATATACATTTTAGGCATAACATCATAGTAACATCTGAGAACCCTGTCCCTTCAAGTGAAGTTCACACAAAATTACCTGCACCCTCATTTTTCCACCTCCAGTGGTGCCCATAAATTGTATACATTTTTATCTACACATAAGAATGTCAATTATATATCCTTTTGGTAACAATATTAGTTTTAAATATGAACAGTTTGAAATTGTACATTCTGTGTTTCTTCTGAAAACTGTATTCTCCTTGTGTTATAATTTCTATAACTCTCAAATGGGAAGTGAAATAGAAACAACATCAGAATGACCATGGATCCCTTTGTATGGTATCAACATTGGTATCTTGCCGTATTTACCCCACCTCCATACTTTGATACCATAAGATAATTTGCAAATATACTGCCTCTATGTTTTTTTAAAAAGAATATTTTATTGTATGTCTTGCTTTTGCACTTTTTGCCTTCTATACCCTTTGAATGCCTTCCTCCTTTTGCTAGAAATGACTATTTAATAGACCATCAACACCATGACCATTCTGTGGGATGACCACTTGGGTGTGTGGAGTATGGAAGCCATGTCTCTTTGTAGGGTGAAGAGCAGACTTGTACCTACTACTTTCTGGAGTGAGGTGAGGAGTGTAGTGGATAACATCTCATTCCCTGGCAGGTGGAATGAGGTGGGGAGTGTAGTGAATACTCTCTTCTCATTCCTTGGCAGACTTTGTATTCTGTAGTGCTCTTAATTGATGCTATTTGTTTTCTTCTTTTTGCATATCAAGTCCCTAAGAGACAATTCTGCCTTTCAAGTTTTTCTTTTTCTTTCATGCAATAATATACCCTGACCAGTTTCTCCTTCCTCATTTTTTTGGTCCTGGTTTCTATAAGAAAGCAGGCTGAGCAAGCCATGGGAAGCAAGGCAGTAAGGAGTACCCCTTCTTAGCCTGTGCAGCTCCTGCCTCCAGATTCCTGTCCTGACTTCTTTCAATGATAGACAACCAGGTGGAAGTGTAAGCCTAATAAACCCTTTCCTCATAATAAACCCTTTGCACAGTGGCGGCACAAGCCTTTAATCCCAGCACTCAGGAGGCAGAGGCAGGAGGATCTCTGAGTTCGAGGCCAGCCTGGTCCACAGAGCAAGTTCCAGGACAGCCTTCAAAGCTACAGAGAAACCCTGTCTCAAAAAAAAACAAAAACCAAAAGCCAAAAAACCCCACAAAACAAAACAAAACAAAACCCAAAAAGCCTCTTTCCTCCCCAATTTGCTTTTAGTCATGGTGTTTCATCACAGCAATAGTAACTGTAACTAGGACACCAAGAATGAGAATTTTCCCAAACTTTCCCAATACATCAAACCATAAACCCTGTAAGGAGAAATGTGGATTTCTCCTAAGATATACTGAAATAATGCTAATCATGAAAGAGAATAAACATATTGACAATAAATAGCTTAATAACTCTTCTTACCATCTTAGACAGTTAGTCTTCCAACACAGAACATAATAAAATACACAAGTCATTAAATTAGAAAATAAACATGAAATGAAACAATAAAATTGAAAGCTTATTTTCTGAAAAGACTAAGAAAATTACTTTAGCATCTCAGGACTGATTAGAATGAGAAGAAAGGCCATCGATATGGCTGATTGAATAAAGGCACTTGCCACCTGATGACCAGAGTTTGACCTCAGGGTCTATGTCCCCAGTATCCTTACTTTCTTTGCTACAATTCAGGTATTTGGGAACATTCTTTTGCTGTGTGCACTGTATCTTCCTCTGGTAAATAACAGTGTAGTCACCTACGCACTTCCCGAGGTTGTAAGTGGGAAAGAATAGTGTGTTGAGCAGGAAGGTTTTGGTGGTGTTAGACAAAGTGACTGGCATTTCTAAAAGGGTGAGAAGATCAGGTTATGTAAGAGGAAATAAACCACCTCTAGGACAAGAAGTCCCCTAGGAATGATCAAACCAGGCTCAGGGAACTGAAACCCAGATGGTTATCTCTGAACAACATCCACTACTTGCTAATAGGTTTTGCATTCATTTACAGCTTAAGTTTGTGGCAATGATTACAGAATTCTAAAAAGTCTTTTTGGTGAAGTAGAGCTACCTGTGGCTAGTATTTCCTCTGTGAAAAGAATTTTAACTAAGTACTTGATGTTTATAGTACATTTCCAATTTTCTACCTTTTCTGAAATCTGGTTTAGTAAAACCAGATTGCATTTTTAGAAGTACAAGTTTTCATGTTTGTTGGCCCAATGTTGTCATGTGTAAGAGGACATTTCCTTCTTCCTTCCTTCCTTCCTTCCTTCCTTCCTTCCTTCCTTCCTTTCCTCCCTCCTTCCTTCCTTCCTTTTTTTAATAGAATGTTTCCAATGGTACAACAACTGTTTATATGCCTGTTTGCTGGTTCCTAATCTACTTGCCATCATATCTATTTCTCAAGTTCTTTCAACAACTGACGGCCCTGGGGGGGGGGTTCTGCATAGTATGTTCATTTTCTATCCAGTTAATTTTTTACTTCTTTTTGTCTATAATTCTTTTTACTTTGAATGTTATTCCATTTGAAGTTGTATGGCCATTACATTTTAGCCTTCATAACATTTAAAAATTATGGCTATAATGTTTTTCCAAATAGCCAATTGGCTGCAGGAGGTGTTACTCTTCAGCTCCATAAGTAGTTCCTTCTTCCTGCTCCCACTCCTTGGCTCATGTTTAAGTTCTTAGATGTGTGCTCTTTCAGATAGTGATGGTATTTCCCCTTCTGTATTAGCCTGGACAGGGCACCATCTGCTGGGCTTTTCAGATATCATGAAACAATGTGCTCATTAACTCAAACCCAGTGAATGGTTTGCTCGGTAGGAACTATTTGTCGACTCCCCCAGCCACCATCTTGTTCATGAATTCTAAGAAAGATATATAAGAATCTTCCGTTATGAAATTGTGTTTTTTGCAACCCCTTGGAGTAGTTCTAGTAATTCTGAGTATGTATACTTCCTGTCAAGTATATAAAAGTTAAAATTCTTAGCACTTAATGCTAAAATGAATGTGGTACCATGTTGTAATCATCTGCATATCCAATAATTTTAACATGAAAAATACATTTGATCACATCACTATAACAGCTCAAGTTTTAGTTTTCTATACACATATCTATTACACTTTTTGTGTCTTAGTTCCTGAAACTGTGCTTCTTGTAAATAGCATGAATTTAGAACTTGGGCTTGGAGAATCTATTACACCAACCTTATCCCACAATCCTATGTTGTCACTTAGCCGTAGCACTAGTGTTCAGTGCTAATAATAACTGTCACATAACTTTCTGTTTACTATTTGCCACTCCATTCTACCCCCTCCTATCTGTATCTCCTGTTCCAGGAGATTTGATGTCCTTTTCTGGTCTCCACAGACTTCCCTATGCACACAGTATGCACACAGACAAGCAGGCACACATACACAAAAATAAAAACAAATGGAAATTTTAACATCTTATTTATATGGGATTCAATTCAGATTATCAGGAAGCCAGGGAATTTGTATATGTTTTTACTACTCACCTGGGACCACAGCCAGCTGAAACTATTTAAAACAAACTACCAGTGTTGTTTTGCTTTTTTTTTTCTCACATAGTTACTATACTTTTAGAACAAAATGTATGCAAGTACTGACAAATTCTTAAGGGAAATATTTATTTCTGCATCCATCCAAGTCAAATAATCTTTGAGTTTTCTGAAATTGTGTCTAAAAGGGCCATGTAATTGCCAGCTGTGAGGTTTGACAGAAATGCCAAAAGTACACAGTGAAGAAAAAAAACATGGCATTTTCAAGAAATGGTGCTAAGAAAAATAGATATCCACATGAGAAAAGAATGAAACTAGATATGTATCTCTAACCCTGCATCAAAATCAATTCCAAAGGATCAAAGATCTCAATGTAATACCCCAAGTTTTGAAATTACTATAGACTCACTGAATCTAAGCTATAAGATATGGGGGAGAGGTCCCATTGAAAACCTGAATCTCATGTTGGGGGTCTCAGCTTTTTAATACATGGATTGTGGGTGGAACATGATCATAGAAACTCAAGAAAGGTTGTTGAGATATATCTAATACAGATGTGTTTCAAACCCTAGAACTTAACTGTCTACTAATGCCCATCTCTTTAGGCCCATTGCTGCTACTGATTTACTTATCACTGTCTCTGGGGAAGGCAGAATTTTGTGAAGTGCTCACACTTACTGGATACTAATAAGGTATCTATCAAGATACTGAAAATGCCAGACACATAGTTGAATATGATAATTTTGACATAGGCAGAGGTGCTTTTAGAAAATAAGAAGCTCATCAGGTATGTGAGGGGAATGGCAGACCATCCAAACAGTGTGAGGATCAGCATCGTCTCCAGAATATGGTAGTCTGTGATATAAATATCAATTTTGCAGTATTTGAACACAACCTGAAACAGAGGGGACAGAGACAAAAGTGAGGCCAGGGTCTCTGACTCTATCCCTCCCACACACATCACATACCCCCCCACACACACCCTACACCACAACACTACAGAGAGAGAGAGAGAGAGAGAGAGAGGAAAGAAAGAACATTTCCATGTTTATTATGATTAATGTGCTCATGGACACCCAAAAGAAAGAAAGAAAGAAAGAAAGGGAGAAAGAAAGAAAGAAAGAAAGAAAGAAAGAAAGAAAGAAAGAAAGGGAGCTGGAGAGATGGCTCAGTGGTTAAGAGCACTGACTGCTCTTCCAGAGGACCTTGGTTCAATTCCCAGGACCCACATGGCAGCTCACACCTGTCTGTAACTCCAGTTCCAGGGAATCCAGCACCCTCACACAGACATATATGCAGGAAAAACACCAATGTACATAAAATAAATAAATCTTTTTAAAAAAAGAAAGAAAGAAAATACCAAGACTTTCATTGTCTGCCTCTTTGAAATAATCCAACCCACAGTTTATGAGCATGAATTCAGGTCAGGTGTGCCCTCCTCCTCACCAGAGGACATCCTAGCAAGAAGAATCATAACCATGGTCTTTTCTTATTTTGGTCTTCTCCCTAGAAGAGTTTCTCTAACGATTCCGACAAAAACTCAGGAGACTCTTATACTAATAACAGCTATCAACTTTCCCAGAAAATAGATGATTCGTTTAAATGTTTTCCTCATATTTCATCAGTTTGCCTCTTATTGATAGCCCTTTAAAAACTTGGGTTTTTAAAGTCTAGCCTACGTCTTACATTCATTCCAGAATCTCATTTTTAGTTACTTACAATTCATGTGGAAAACCATATGAGGAAGCATAAATTTTGAGGGACCTAAATTGGAATCTTGTTTGACTGAATCTTCTCCCAAATCCTAGAAACACCATTTCACATGCTGATTTTCTGACTCTGGCTATCTTGTATATTTCATAAAGTAGAATCATACAGTATTTGCTTTGGGTGGTTGCTATATTTTATATAAATATTCTCTGCCTTCATCTACAGTAACAGCACATGTTAGGAGCAACTTCTTTCTAAGGCTAACTGATGCTATGTTGCATGCAGATACCATATTCTCTTTCTCTATGCATCTGCTGGCAGTCATTAAGGTCTCTTGCACATTTTGACTGTTGTGATTAGTTTATAGTGAAGGTGGGAAGATGATGTATCTTTGATGATGTATCTTACATCTAGAACTGGGATGTTTAATTATAGGGTAGTACCATTGGATACCTTGAGAACCCTGCCACGTTGTTCCTGGCAACACCCATCTTTCTGATTCCCACCAACAGGTGTAAAGGTTCCAATTTTTCCAAACCTACTTACTTTGTAGTATTTTTTTTTGTAATAGCTATCCTAATATTTGTAAAAAGATTTAAGATATACTGATGGATATTTAAAACTGGGAAAGGTGGAAATAGTCCAGTTCAGAATACTAGGAGACAAAATTTAACACAGCTCAGTAGTATGAAGTATGAAATCCAGTAAGAAGCTTTCTGCTTTGAACAGTTTTAGAACTCAGCAAAAGCTAAAAAGGAAACACTGGGAAATTAGTCCAGGAGATACACTTGTACTATGACAAAAGAAGGCTACTTTGTTATAATAAATCATTTTGAAGTTATCTTCTTAGTCTACTTTAAGAATTTTGGATTATTTACTTACTTAGACATGGTCTCATGCACCCCGACCTTGAATAGGTACATAGCTGAGGATGACCTTGAACTTCTAACCTTCATGCCTCTACCTCCCATGTGCAGAAATTCCAGATGGTCACCACCATTCCCAGTGCTGAAATGTGCTTTATACAATAATGAGCAAGATTGTTTATTGGCATAGCTATGTTTATGAAAACATCAGCTACAAGATGCATTTTCCTTGCGGAACTAAAGGAAAATAAACTCTCACAAACATTATCTGTCACTCACCAGTAGTAGGCAGCAAGAAACAAAGAAGACCATTCATTAAGTCAAACAGGAGAGCAGAAAGCCAGTAAACAAGGACAGAGACCCCACTCAGAAACTGCATGTGCTTTGCCTTCGTGGTTCTCTCAGTCACCGTCAGTAGACAAAAGCCACTGACCAAAAGAGCCATGCCCAGCTGAATTTTTAAGGCAACCACCTTTCCTTCTGCACTCCTACAGAAGGAACCAAAAGAAGATCCATCAAAAGATGCTATTTTCATCAATGGCTATTTTTATCACAGAAATATAATTGGATAGGGTGGGAAGAATGCATTTCAAGTGCAAAAGTAAAAACATGAAACAAAACATACCCAAGACTTTTCTTATCCTGGGGGCGTGGCTGAGGTTTTTGGAGACCATTATGGAAGCATCAGCACCAGAAAGTGACATGAAAAGAATATTGTCTAAAACTGCCAGGGATAGAGATTGTGAATGGTAAGCGTCGTTGTTGAACAGAACAGTAAGCTTTGTTCCATTTGCAACCACCTTGATGGAAAGTGCAATAATACATAAATGAATGCATTCTTCATTTCCCTCCAAGTATTTGAGTAGGTCACCTAGGGCAAAGACACAGTACTGGTCAGTGGATCCAACATACAGATAAAACTAATGAATAGCATCCAAGAACAAATTTCTCACTACTTTAAATTTTGTGGAGATAATTTAAAAATTTTGCTGTTACCCTTGCAACTTTTTTCCATTATTAAATTCCAGGATTTCTCATTGTATTTACTATAACCCAAACTACAATTTGCTGAGAAAACAAAGCCCGATGTATTTCTTCAACTCACCTACCTGTCTTTAACAGATTGGTAAGAAATTTCACTCACATCATAGAGGTCTCAAAACTCTCCTCTGATAAAATGGAAAAACTATATGAGCAATTTTAAAAATCACCTTTTGCAAATACAGCAGAGCTAGAAAGTAACAACTTTTTTTTTTTTGCTCAAGACCCTGAGAAGAATGAAAACATCAAGGGGAGCCCAACATTCTGCTCCCTTCTGAGTGGTGGGAAAGCCCCATAAGCTTCCAGTATCTCAGTGCGGCCCAATAACATCATGCCCTGCACAATAACGAGGTGGAGACTTTGTAAGCTGCCCAGCCTCCAATAAGGCTCACACAGTCCTGCAGTGGTTTGGATGATGCCTACCTGTATGGGCTTCAGCTTGCAAATTATTTCACTATGTCTACTATTTGCAATTCTAATCAATTCTGGAAATACCTTGATGGGCACACTTGGAAATGTGTTTTACCAGCTATGGGCAATTCCCTTAATTCAATCAAACTGACATCAGGTTCACCACGAGGTGTGTGTAGACTCATTTGTCTACACACATAATTACACTTCATTATCCTTATTATTTTCAAACCACTTGTCTCCTATTCCTCAATCTTCAGCTTCACCCATTTCACAGAACTAGAATTGCCTTAACATCCATGAAATATAAGCATGGATGAAATATAAACATATAAAGAATTAGGCACCCTGAGAAATGGAATTTATCTCAAGAATATAAGGCCGGTTCAATGTGTGAAAACAAATGTTATACATGATTCCAATCAACTAACCAAAATTACATACTCAAGTAAGTCTATGAAGAAAATAGTTTAAGGTAGACCAACTGGGCACCTACATGTTACTATTGGAAAAGTAAAACTGCAGACTACTCTGGAAAGAAACTGAATCCTCACAGATTATAATGCAATTATATGAGAAAGAAATGAAGATGCAAATAGAATAATAACAGCAGCTTTACTTATAGCTGTGCTTACTGGGGAAACTTTAGATGTCTTTCAATGAGTGAATGGTTAAATAAATTGTATTGTGCTCGTGAGAAAGAACACAGTTAGCAATTAGCAGAGACAAATGTTGAATACACACAATTACCAGAAAATCACACTAAGTGGAAATGTCCATTTCAAAATGTTACACACTGTGCAATTCCATTTTTATCACTCTTGAATGATCAATGTACAGAAACAGAATAGAGACTAGTAGTTTCCAGGGATAAGGGTGGGAATAGACAGGAAGTTAGTGTGGTACTAAGGGCAACAGGAAGAAAAGGTGTGGTGGAAATGTTTTATATGTTATCTGTATTTCAATAACCTGATTCCATTCTCATATTGTAGCATTACTAGAGGTTACCATTAGTGCATAAGGCCTCTCAATATTTTGTAAACCTACATAAACCACAAAATAAAATATTATCAAAAACAATAAAGCTAAATGGTACTTATTCTGACTCTCTTCCACATATGAAGATAGAGTAAAAATCTATGCAATCCACTTCCTCTAGCCCTATTATTCTTGTTCCCTTGCCTAGACTGCTACTGTAACACCACAGCTGATTTACCTGTAGTCTCTTCCTTTTTCAGTGTTTTCCCCATATTGAGTATGATGAGATTATGTTGCTCTGTATGCTTGTTGTGTGACAGGAACTTGGTTAGGTTATAGAAGTTTAGAGGAGGTTCTCAACTCCCCATAATTTCTGCTAAGAGGCAGATGACTAGTGCACAGTTGTAATTTGGAGTGATGAAGCCCACAAATGATACATGCCTCTAAATAAATGAAGGTAAGACAGTTATGTTCAGTCTGGAAAGGCAGGAAGTGCTTCCTGAGTTACTGTGGTTCTAGAATACCTTTCATGAGCGCACACTCACTCAATTTATGGTGAATCTTAAAAAATTTACAGGGCTGCATTGCTCACAGAATTGACAGGAAATAAATCTCAGTGCAAAACATGGGTTACTTATTGGACTACCTATAACTAATTGGGCAGCAAAGCCCCAGAGGTCTCCAAATTAATACAGGCTATTGCCATTTCCCTTGATTACCCATCATAAAATCACAATAAGACCCTATCACTGAATATGCTATACATTTAGATACAAGACAGAGAAAAATTAATCCCCCAAGTGGACCAGGAAACCTCCTCCCTATTGGCCAGCCTTCATAGTGCTAGAAGATGCTGTAGAGACTGTTGAGGAAAAGAAAGACATCAATAGTCTAACCCAGCACTGGACTGCATGCTACAAGATATAACTACTGTGCCATGATTGTTATGGGGTAACTAATCACTTCAGGATTGAATTTGAGATCTGCTCCATAGGAGGGAATTTAATTCATAGTACTGAACTATTGGACAAAAGCTCATGGAGTGGGAGGTCACAGGCCCTAGGATAAAACCTGCTATTTTTACTTTGCCAAATAATCATACTGTCAAGTTAATGTCTACATATTTATGCTTATACCAGTAGACCTGAGGTCACTCAACCTTATCCAGAGAAGCTTCTTTTTATAGTGGGTACCCATCAATGTAAAGATGTACAACTGGTAATTGTGCAGAGAATAAGAGTTTGCAGGCTCAGGCCTAAATATGGGACATCTATATTAAACTTCTGACCACGGATCAGGGAACGTCTCAAAAGAGGAGGCAGAAAGAATGCAAATGCCAGAGGATGGGGAGGAGATCTGTGAAATGCTGTCTTTTGGACATGATGTAGCCACTGAACCCATGAACTCACAGCAGCTGTGACTGCCTGCACAAGACCTTCACAAGATAAAGACAGAATTCCAACATGGGTGGGGGGAGATGATCTCTAGACTTCATACTTTACTGAGGAGCTATTAGCAATTAATAGTTTCTAGGGGACAGAAATTACTTTTTGAGTGTTTGGCCGCTGGTAAACTTCCCATGACCCAGTGGCTGCTCCCATCCATGCACATATGGGGAGCACTAATTGGTTTACGGGGTTATAAAGAAATATTGTTGTGGGATGGACATGTTGGGAGGATATGGAAGGAATTTGAGTGTTACATATTTTGTTGTACATCTGTATGAAATTCTCAAGAATTAATTATGTTTAGTGTTGCTAAGGCATAGATCATTTCAGAAGTAAGAAACAGATGCAAGATTACCTAGAAATCTATTTCCCCACTGGAAAACACTTTTCTACTGTCTATGGCAAAGAGAGAGCAAGTTCTAAAGGATTTAATTCTTTACCATAAATAGCATTTTTTAAATAAAGGTATGAAGTTTAAAATAGGGAGAAAATACAAGAATTAATAAAAATACTTACTAATGGTTCCACGACTAAGATAATTAGAAAAAAATCTTAAAATTGATGTGTGTTTTTTAAAAATCTAAGTTGGTTGGAAAAGTGTAAAGATTTCTCTATACTTCACTAAGTTTCAGCAAAGGAAAAAGTAATAACATTTCAGTGAAGGCAGGTGATAATGGTAGGTCTATTATATTTTTCTGTTGTGTTTCTCCCCTTGTTTTTAATAAAAGAATAGTACATCCAATTATTTAGTTGATGTTTTAATGTACAAAACATCCTTCAATCTAAATAATCTTTCTATGAATCAGGATACTGCTTTCATCTACTATCTTTTTGTGTGATTTTAGTTAACAGCTGCTTATTTCTCTCCCCACTTCTCCTCTCAAACTCTTTGTGTTGGCCTCATGCATATTATTCAAGTTCTTTTCCACTGAGCTAAATCCTAAGCCTTGTTTGAATCTCACTCTGTAGCCAAGGATGGCCTGGAATTTGTAATCCTTCTTCCTCAGCCTCCAGATAGATGGGATTAGAAGGCTACATTAGGTCCAGCACATCTATCATTGTGGAGAAAAAGAATAAGGACATTTTTTAAAAATCAGCCAATCTATTATTTGTAAGTAGTTCCACTTGGATTATGTTTTAAAGAAACAATTAATATCCTTAAGCATATTTTCATCCTTCAGAACAAAACCTGAAGAAGAGAGAGAGAGAAACAAAATGTCTTGCTTATCCTGAAGACTATGTGTTCACCAAAGGAACAGTATCCATCAGGTAGTGAAGAAAATATTACCCATCTGGGAAGAATGCTTATATTTGAAAGAGAATGTAATTTATATTCAGAAAGGTAGTGTATTATACTAAGTAGTTTATAGATGAAGGCAGATCAGGTTAAATCCAAATATGCATCTTCTGTCTGGGACAAGGGGTGATGACGCACCTGCCACAAGCTGGGTTTGTGCCCAAGTCTGGTCAAAAGCTGAGCACTTAGGCAGGGACTTGGGCAGCTGGTGACATCAGAGGAGGAAGTTACAATAGTCCCCAAGAATGCAGAACTGGGCTTTTGGCACCTTTCTTTTGTTTAGAGACTCTCTGAGTGGGTGGGGTTTGGAGAGAGAAGGAGACAGGAATGGGGCTTCCAGACTGTGTAGGGGTGAGCTATAGGCTCCAACCAGTTAGTTATCACAACAAAAGAACTGAAGTAAAATTATGCCCAATTTCATAAGAATTATATTTAGGCACTCTCTTCTGTCTGTCTATCTATCTATCTATCTATCTATCTATCTATCTATCTATCTACTATTGTGGTTAACTAGAAAGAAACAGTAAATGCTCACAGTCAAAGTGCAACCAATACCAACTAATTTTTGAGATCAGTAGCTTTAATAAGGACATTGCTATTGTTTAACTGTCTCTGTGGTATAATGAGTGTCAGGAAAAGAATGGAGCAAATTAACATGTTATAGTTTTGACCTTTCTTTGGAAGTGACCCAGGGAAATCACTGAAAAGACATCTTTCTGTTTCTAAGTTAGCCTTACCTTGTTCTTCCTTAAGTTTGTGGCTGCCAGGCTTTAGCATATTCTCAAGGTGTATTAAGAGACTTGTCATCAAACTAGATTTCCCAGAAATAGAAAAAGGCACAATGGTTTGACCATATTCATCCAAATTCATTTGCCTTATTTTCTCATCTTCATATTTAAGGTCATGAGACTTCAGGAGAAAGAGAGTAGAGATGACAAGTCCCAGTATCTGTACCAAAAGCACCCTCCAGTTTCGCCAATTATATAACAACCTCTTTATGAACATGGCACGGAACTGCTGATAGTAGAGGGAACACTAAGCAAAGAAGAGAGAAACAGCATTATCGAAACCTCTAGACCTTGATACATCATTCACACTGAAATTCATTGACATTGGGGTTATGAAATTTTGTGGTACTAAAACTTTATGGCATAAATAGACACAATTTAAGTACACACAGCTTATGTAAGTAAGTTCTTGGAGGAGGCCCCCAAACCTATGATGTGACATCCAATAATATATCATCCATCTGTTAGTCTAAGGCAAAGGACAACAAACCACAACCTTTGTGTAAATACATCTTTATTAGAATGCAGCTAAACACATTGTTCCTATGCCCCATGGCTGCTTCTTGTACAATGATAGTTGAGTGATGGTGACAGAAATAATGTGACCCTCAACATTTGTTATCTCTTTATATTGACTTGTCTGACTTCTGATATAGCCTATTATGTGACATACTTAAGTTTAATGTTGTATATAATACTAAAAATGGCAACAGGATGATTTTTTTTCCAGGCTCCGATAACCAGGATGCAAGAGCAAGGAAAGAAATGCTTGGCAGTCCAAACATGTTTCCTATGAGGAGAACCTCATTTGTTGGGAAACAATCTCATATACAGGAACTACTCCTCTTGAAAGTTTTAGAACAAACTCCTAGTTGATAATTTGAAAAATCAGGCTCCCTGTTATGCTTACACCAACTTGAAGGAGCAGATGAGTTTCTGGGGAAAAAAAAAAAAGAACTGCCGAATAATGGTAGTGACAGTAAACAGCTGATAATGTTTTTCCAGAGTCCATCCCTCTACATTAAAACACTTAATAGGGGTCCCAACTGCTCCACGCTGTATTGGTTTTGCAGTGGCTGAGAACAGGTTCTTTTGGTTCATTAATTAAATGAAAACAAAACTCGGGTAAATCCTAACTCTTGCTAGAGACACCTACTTGTTTGCAAAGAGTCTTACCCTGGTGTTAAACACAATGGTTGGGTCTTCACTCTGGACGGGAAAGTCTCCTCTCATGCTGCTTGGGACATCCTTATTCTTATTCTCTTTGCTCCTCACTGAGGCAGACTGAGTAGCTTGGCTATCTGATTTTGAATCTTCCATGTGACTGACCATATATTAAAAAAACAAACAAATCTTGTCATTTCAACCTTATCCTACTATCCATTGCTTAAAGAATGTGAGTTGCAACCCCTGACTCCAAAGGCCCCTCGGGTTAGTCATTGTTTAATGGCAACCCTCTAAGTAAGAGTGATGTTAGCTCCCAAGTACCAGCACACCTCCAAGCCTTGCAATGCTTAAATTTCTAGGCATGCAATGTCCAACTTTGCAAGAATCTTCCCCTCTGAGGGTTTCCCTTTTCCTATGGACAATTGCTAACCTAAGGAAGACTTCTTCCATGGTAGTGATAGAGACACCAAAACTAGAAATGCCAAGGTTCTCTTGATTTTCTTCCAGAACAGTAAAGAGAGCTTCAAACCTACAAGTAGGAGAAGATGACAGGCTGGGACTAAAGGAAGTGATTTTCAAATTTACTTCTTTTTATTTGAAAGTGATCTCCCCTCACCAACACGTCAATGCTTGTTATAATTTCATGCTTCTGTTCTGTTAATTCAGAAAGGTGAGACAAATAGAAAAAGCAAGACAACAACAAACTACTGTAGTAGATTGTTTCCTTGATACTTTTCTCTTGGAGACATTTTGATTTTCTAATAAAACTATTAAGATGCTCTATGAGGAGACAGTTGATGGTTGACAGACAAAGAAGAGTCACTATTCTTTGGAGGCATGATTACTGTAAGGCTGCCAATGGGTCACACTTTGTTGGATAACACACCAACTGCCTATTCCTATTTTTGTCATCTTCACTCCAAGAGGCACCATTTAAACTGTCCTGATTATTTTCATTATATTTTTTGAGGCAATGTCTCACTTTCTGATTCATGTTGGCTTCAAAGTCATAATCCGTTTCATGTCTCATTCTAGGATTGCAGGTACGTATCACTTTACCTAGTTTTTAAGGCTAATATTATTGGTAGTGGTGGAGTTTGTATGTGTGGTATGAGATTGAATTTAGATCCTTGTACATGCTAGCAAAGTACTTTACCACTACCATTTCATTATCTTAGTACTTTTCTTCACTCCATGTACTAGTAGTCACATTGACTCTATGGACAACAAAACACCCAATATCACCAGTTAACCCTAGGAAGCAAGTGGCACCTGTCTCTTTTCAGTGTGAGTGGCAGCTGTGATAGAAGTTTTGTCTCTTTAAATAAACTCTACTTGCTAAGTAGGAAGAAACAAGAAAAAAAAACAATCATTTCTGACTATTTAAAAATCTACTGGTTAGCCTTCTTTAGATCCACACCTGTGAGTATATTCTTGGGGTAGAATAAAAGATAACTCATTTCCAACATTAGTCTTCAGAGTGCTTAATGATGCATAGTAATGGATCAGTTTTGAGATTTCATCAATGTCACAGTGAGGTTCCTTCACCATTACTATGTGGTATCCAACACCTGAGAAAATGCATTCCGAAGACCAAATTAAAAGGTTTTGTACTTCCCATCTCCTAATGAGGCCATACCTGTTTTTTTGTGGCTTGTGTAAACTAGAAGAAGATAGAGCATGTCACAAGTTATTTGACTACAACTCTAAGAAGCATGGCATTGTGTAATATAATCATAATTAATGATATAGTTGTAAATAGGCCTATAAAGGATTAATAATGATCTAGATTATAAAACCAAATATAGCAGAGGTAACATTAAAATCTACCTGACTTCTCTTTCTACTGATATTGAAATTAGAGAAATAAAGATTAATATTCATTAAGCAGATGATTCCTGGATCCACATTTATACACCAGAAACTATATAAATTGAATAAAATCATTTCCTTCAAAGATCTTCACATCAGAGAAATCTTCCATGCTTATATTCTGTCATCATCTCTTCCCTGCCACCCTGTACCTCCTTTTTCTCCTCTCACTGGTCCACCTTATCCTCTTCCTTCTTCACTGGTCTTCCTAAAGCTAGGTGTGTGATAGGGTATGGAGGGAAATCCCTCCATGGAACTCTAGGATTTGTGCTCTTAGAAATGACATTCTGATACCCTAGGCTTAGACAGTAGAACTAAGGGAAATTTCTCTAGGGTATCTGGGTCCATCACCTGACAAGAGTCCTTTGAGAAAGGTAGAGGTAGGGAGGAAGAGAAGGAGCAAAGACAGAGTACAAGAGAGCACGTAAGCCCCAGGGTACTGAAGAAATTGACAGGAGGTGGGGAGTATGGAAATCAAAGAGGACATGCCAGTCAGAAGGCCTGTGGTTAAGCCACAGCCTAAAGGCAGAGCCATCTTCCTATATGTAGGTCTCAAGCTCTCTTAACAGTAACTCTATTTCCTTCCTAAAACATTTGAAGACAGTGATGAGCAGAATCCAAACAAAGCTGCACCACATTACAGGATTGCCCAAATATACATTCTAATGACTTTATCATTTATAAATATAGCTTGACAGAGATAAAGATATTTGCTTCTTTGAGATGAATATTGCATACTTTAGTTTCTACTTGTGCATAAAAGTTATAAGCTATGCCAATAAATTATCAAGCATATATAATAAATGTAATACTATATACTATAGAAAGTTAGAAGCAGAGATTGGCCTAGATGCAGAAATTACAGGATAAAGACTAAAATACCATGATAAATATATTAGAAATAGAAAATATACTAGAAATAGAAAAACAAGCTGTTGAGTCAATCAGACATTTTGTAGGATAATGAAAACTATAAAAGGAAGCCAATGGGAACAGCAAAAAAAAGTACAAATAAAGAAGTCACTTAATGGTCTCAGCAGCAGAGGAAAAGAAAGAATCAATAGCCCTGAAAGAAGATCCCTAAAAGTGATCCAAATGGGAATACAAAAAGTGAAGTATAGGAACACAGAGAATACCACAAGTAGAAAATTGCAGTTAATCATAACGTAGAAAACAATTAGAAAATTTGTAATGTCCTTGTAAAATTGCATCCTGAAAAGTCTATCAAAATTCTGTCAAACAAGAATTACATATCCAATGAAAACATTCATAATAAATGAGGATGAGTTTAGCTCATGGCCCTGACAATGTCAGTATGTCCTAACAGAACTTCCACCATGAATATCTGAAAGAAATGGGACTTGAAAGCACAGCTTTGGTCTGTAGACAAGAGTCAGCCAAGAGCATCAATGCCTGTGAGATGAAGATGAGATGAGATATTCGAGCATGCCACTTTGGCTTGGAAGTGCAGCAAAGGGGAATACCAACAGCCTTCAGTGCTGCACCTGATGTGAGAAGTTGGAAGACTAAGACTACAGCTACAAGTTGTGAAGACAATTTGAGTGCAGAGCTCTGTAGCAAGAAAACTCTGAAATAAGAGCTGGAGAGATGGTTTAGTGGGCAAGTCCACTTTCTGTGCATGTGTGAGAACTTGAGTGAATCCCTAGCACCAACATAAACAGCCAGCAGGGCACACATGCCTATAACCACAGAGTTGGAAGGTTAAGAGTGGCAGATCCTGGGAGATAGGTGATTCTGGTTCAATGACAGACCTTGTCTCAGGGGAATAAAGCAGCGAACAATAGAGGAAGACACCCTAATGTCTTCCTCTGGTCTCTACATATGAGCATATGAGCATGCACACAGCACACACACAACATACATAACACAAACACACAAAAAATTAAAAGAAGTAACCACAGAAACCTCATAAGGGTGTCTCTGTTAGCCTTCACTGAGTGACAGGCTATATAAGCACCAAGAGGAACTCTATGTGGTTGGATTTACATTTTTAATCCCTTTATTACCTCACAAAAAGACTAGAGCTTACACAGCTAAACCAAAGTGGAGAATCAGTGGTGATCAGCCAGGAAATTTAATAAAGACTCCATGGGGCTCATGTTTCTGCAATAGAACTGAAATATACTTAGTGAATGGTACCCCAGACCCTCATTAGCAAAAGTGAAAATCAGGTCTCAATGGTACACAAAATGTTACAACTGGGTGTTGGAAGAGAGCACAAAACTCTTGAAAGACATCTCCCCAACAAAAGTCTAAACATCCAACAACACAGCATATAGGCTTTGGTAACTAGTCAAAGGTTTTGGATATTCTAAGTAGCATGAAATCATGCCTAGCCAGGGGCAAAATCAAATAAAGTGGACCAGAAACTAAGGCATACGAGGTAAGTAAAAACTGAGAGTTCAACAGCATTAGGGATGTCTAGAGAGGAATGTCACAAGTTTTCACATTGAAATAAGAGAAGCTTGACACAAAACAGAAGTAGGGAACATCCTAACACAGCAGAATGCCAATCCTGTGATCTCGGGACCATCTCCAGAAAGAACACAGAACTACAATTCAAGTATAGACTTTAAAAGATAGACAAAAATACCTTCTCAGGCAAAAACAGGATGAACTCATAAATCAGCAACCAAAAAAGCCTGGAAACTTCAGAATTTTGAGGGAATTAATCAGCATACACTTAAAGAAACAGTGATTCACACACACACACACACACACACACACACACACACACACAAAATCACCAGGAAAATTAGAAAGTGATCTATTCCCCCTGTGATTTCTTTTTCTACATCTCTGTATCTAGCCATAATCTCAATGATGGACAACTGCATTAGATAATATTTATCTGGAAATCATGAGAGAAATGAGTGTCAACACTGAACAATACAATAAACACAGAAGTGGGGGATAATTTTGAAGAAAATAGAACCACCATTCAAAGGACTTACAGCTGAATGTTAATTGAACACAATATTGGGACCACTCAAGTTTTGACTAAATACACAATATCAATGGGAATTAGATTAAAAGAATATTATTAAGGCAACAATGTTGTAAGAATAATCAATGGAAATGCACCATATAGTCTTTTCAGGAAGACTGAAGAGCCGCAGCACTGCAAGGTTCCTTGGACCATGATAGCAATGCGGTCACCCAGCACATCAGCTTCATCCATGTAGTGAGTGGTCAGCAGGATGGTACGGTCCTGTTTATAGGCTTGAAGGAGATCCCAGATGGTCCTCCTTGAGGCTGGGTCCATGCCAGATGTTGGCTCATCAAGTATCACCACCTGGAAACAGAATAATTCTATCACTATGTAAATATGCACTGGTCCCATGGGTGTCCTACCAGTACTGGGCTTGCTCATACTTTGATTTTTAAGCCAAATGTCCAACTGAGCAAAGATGGTAAGTTTATATAAAACTAGGACTTCTGTACTAAAACCAGACCCATGACCATTTTATACCAATGAGGTTGACAATGAGAATTCCATGTGAGCTTCTTTCAAAGTGTTAAATCTATGTCAGCTTTCTGATTTTGTCACTTGGATTTTTAATCCTGCTGTAGATCAGAATTAGCC